TTTATAAAGTCCAAACATCTGATAGAAGACTCTACAAGTGTTTGTGTTTTAGAAATACATATATATATATATATATATATAATCATGTGCATTCTACCTTATGTTACTACCTTGAAATACTTATTCATTCAAATTCATGCTGCTGCATCATTATATTCTACCATGTTGTTGTTCAATTTCTCTCTTTGGAACACTGTAAATATTATAAATACTTTTGCACTTTTTGGTACTTTTTTGTGTACCATTATTGCATGCTTTTATTATTTCTTGTAGGTTTGTTCTTTGATTTTTTAGCAAGTCAAATCGATTCTTCTCATCCTGAGCATTTCATTGTACTGTTAACCCTGTGTTGCCTTGCATATGACAAATAAACACAACTTGAACCTAAACATCCACACTAATCTTGTTCCTCTTATCACTGAATGAGTAAGAATAGAAAGTTCCTTGTTTATAAAGTCCAAACATCTGATAGAAGACTCTACAAGTGTTTGTGTGCTTGAATGACAAACACATTTGAAAGTTTTATGTAGCCTCACTGACAATAAAACTGTACGTCATAAGTGCAGATCTGTTACCTTATTGTGAAGCACATCAACAAAAAATGTGTCACTTAAAATCTTTTAAATGCCATTTGGTAATTTTGAGGAAATTACCTTTACCTTTGCCACTTATACTTGAAAAGTTAGACTTTAATTCACAGGAAGTTTCTGTAAATCAGATTTAGTTGTTTTTAAAATTACTAGAGAAACAAAATAGAAAAAGTACCATACATTTAAATTTTCACTTGTTTTTCAAATCTGTCTTTGTCATTTAAGTCAAATACGTAGACATTCAAACCCACAATACTGTCTTGGTCAAAAGCTTGGTCCTGTATTTGAAACTAAATAATACGACATGGAATGTATTCACAGACTTGTTCATTATTTCCAATCCTAGAGCTCAATCCAGAATAGTTTGCTTTGATACTACTTTGGTAGATCTACTTGGCACAATGCAGATAAAATTAGCAAAAAACATTTAAAAAAGACCATATCAATGGGATTTTGGTGAGACGCAAGAAACAGCTCCTTTTGGAGCTCTGTAGCTCAGCCATACTTATAGTAAAAATACCGTTGAAGGTTTAAACAGATCACAGAATGTTAGACTCTAGTATTAAAGTAAGTATAAAAGTATAAAGTATATAAGTATTAAATATCTATTAAATAATGAGATATGCTTAAGATACTATGTTATATTTGTATCCACATTTTTGTAGTATATATTTTTCAGAGTTCACCAAGTCTGTTTTGCTCCATTGCTCTGTATCATTTAACGACACCTGGTCCATGTAATCCACTTTAAATGATCATTTCTTTATGAAACCTGTCCTGAATGAATCTGGGCTTTTTGCCATGTGACATTATGTCAGTGATACATATTATTACTCCAAACTGAACTCATGCAACTATTTGTTGAAGCATGAATTATTTTGTTATTTGTTTCATAACCATATGTATTAATTTGAACAACTCCAACTGCAGCAGTTCTTAGCTCTGCTGAAAGCTCCACATTTCCTCCCGCTGTACCTGGATAGTCCTGCAGCCCTGAGGGACTCCTCCAGAGCAGCAGCACCTGACTCTCCTCCTCTGTCCACCTCATCACTGCCTCATACTCTGTGTTGTGATTTAACAGGAAGTGTTTTACAAGGTTTGTTGTGTTGCTACAGCTCTTTACAGATTTTCCACAAACCTCACAAACCACTTCTTGTCTGTTTCTGGAGCTGAAATAACTCCACACACGCCTCTGTTAAACTCCACCGCTGTGTCTACAGACTGAGAGACTGACGAGCCGCGTGCCGCTCCGCTGAAACGCATTTACTCAGGTGGAAGAAAAAGTAGTTCCCTCCAACCGCATATCATTTAGACAAGATCTCAATAGTTTAGTTACTTTCCACCGTCTTCCTGTTAATGATATGCATTACCTGAAATGACTGAAGTATCAAAAGTATCGATAGTTTGATTTAAACATGGATTCTAGAGCAAAACGCTCTGGTATTGATAGTATCGATATTTTAGCATTGATCCGCACATCACTACTGTGAGACACCAAGAGCTGTTTGATCCTCTCAGAGTTAAAAACTTCAGTGAAATGTCAAAAAAAGTTCAATCTGGTCCTCTGGACATTAAAAAAAAAACAAAACAAAAAAAACAAAGCAAATCAACAAAAAAATGTAGAAACGTTTCGTCTCTCATCCGAGAGACTTCCTCAGTCTGAGGTGCTGTATTCAGCTCAGTCTCTTAAATAGCACCTTCTCAGAGTGGATCAACCAGTTTGCTGCTGACAACCAGAACCAGCTGATCACATGCTCAAGAAGGACCATCAGCCTAACAATGGATCATTAGCACCTGATGGCTGTTTACTGTTCACAGAGGGCTGAGTGATACTAGCAATAACAGCATTGTAAGAGGGGGACAGTTGAACACGGAGGCTCCACCCCTGTTTAATGATGGATGGATTCTTTTCACAAAGATGGCCTCCTTTACTCCTCTCTCATCCTCTTTTATTTCTCCTACAACCCTTTTGTGTACATATACATTTTTGAACCAGTGCGGCTTTACTTCCATAGCTTTTATGTTTTTTTGCTCAAATCCTCTTAAAATGTAAAGTGCACACACCAGAGCTTTCACAGATTGTTTCATTTTAGTTCACAATGGTCCTATTAAAACTACAACCCCTTTCTTCTTCTCATGATTCAAGGATTTTAAAGATGTGAGCTTCAACATGGTGACTGTTTGTATGAGGACTTTTGTTTGTTTGTTTTGTCTGGTTAAAATGGTGAACCTTAATGGACCACAGGCAACAACTTTACATGCTTTTATTTTTTGTTCTCTTTACACATCATTAGAAGGCATTTTAGTAATATTTTCAAAAGTAGAGCCATAGCCATCCTTCAGAATTTATTAAGAAAGTTCCTAGATTTGTATCTTGTATCTACTTTCTTTAATTTCACAATTTGAAATATTTTTCTGAAAATAATTTCATTTCATTTTCACCCCTTTAGGCCTATTGTGCACGGCGGCAGCAGACAAGTGCTTATCATCTCCCTGCAACAATGGTGGAACATGCCACGACATTCAGGGTGGCTATGTGTGTTTGTGCCCCAAAGGACCCATGTGGTACATGGGCAAACGTTGTGACGAGCTGTTTGATGCCTGTGTCTTTGCTACTTGCACCAACTGTACCAGCGTGCCCGGGACAGACCAGTTCACCTGCCACTGCCCGGATGGCTTCACAGGAATCAAATGTGACCAGGATGTAGACGAATGCCAGAGCAACCCCTGCAGCGGTGTCAGGTCCTTCTGTGTCAATAGAGTCAATGGATATTCCTGCCACTGTCCTATTGGACTGGGAGGGGAGGACTGCCAAGATAACGTGACCACTTGCTTAGTGGAAACATGTCAGAACGGTGGCACCTGTATGGATGTCCCTGATACAGGGCACCAGTGTGACTGTGTCGCTGGGTACCGGGGTAAAAACTGTGAGGAGAATATGGACGAGTGCCAGTCTGATCCCTGTCAGAATGGAGCCATCTGTAAGGACGGAGTCAACAGCTACCAGTGTTTCTGCGTGCCTGGATTTCAGGGTTACCACTGTGACTTGGACATCAACGAGTGTGCTTCTCAACCCTGTCAAAACAACGGCACGTGTCTCGACGAGGTGGACCACTACTTGTGTGATTGCGCTCCAGGTTTTAAAGGTAATGTGGTGTTTGAAGGAAGTTTGAAGTCTGGCTGAATAGAGTGATGGTTTTAAATCAGAGACTGGCAACAAGCTGAAAATTTGTGGTTTGCTCAGTCAAATTTCCATTAATGACCTCAACATAAGAAACAAATACAACAAATATTCCTACACTCATCCTAAAACGAAACTGATTTACAGGACTGGTCATAAAATGTATCTATGCTTGGTCTCTTCAGCTCAGGGTTGGGCCACACTTTGTCCAAAGTGACACATACAGAAGCGTGACTAATGAAGTGAGCTGTACCATCTGGTTAAACTCAAGTCTGCCAAGTATACATTTTATAATTATCTACAAATGAGTTTTTCATTAACAGTAAATAGTTGATATTTCAGGTGAACAATAATAATCTGAACCAGTCATATTGAGAATTTAAGCTGTATTTATACTCAAAATAATAATTAATAATCATGAGAAAAATCATTAATGTTAAGAGACTCCCCTGTTAGCATGCACAACTGAGACTGCGTCCACTCGCCTTCAAAATAAAATGCACTGGAAATGCCAGTTTCAGAATAAAATTTGAAACATTGGGTTTCCTTGCAAAATGACTTCTATTTCATTTTCATTTTTTTCATTGATCTCCAGCGGGACACACGTGGCCTGCAGTAGCAAGTACCAAGAAACACTGGACTTTGGTGGTACATGTGCCAGCATTTTAGTTTATATTTGAAATCCTAAACCACTGGTGATAAAACTGCACCTATTAAAACCATTTTTGTCTCCTCACAGTTGTGTTTGATTTAAAATCCCCCGTTCTGTTAACCTGTAAGTTCTGCTTCTGGACTGCAGAAGGAAAGAGAAAGAAGAACATCTGGCTGCCAAGACTCCGTGTTGATTTCTCTGAAACGACTGCAGCACAGTGCGGCTCACGCCTTTCTATGGAAAGTCAGGCTTTAGCTGTCAGTTACATAATCTTAGCTGCCAAAGGAGATTTAGCTTCTTTACAGATAAAATGAAATTGCATAGTATTTATTTTAAAGACCAGTTCTGCAGCAGACAAGATATTTCTTTAAAAACTATATTTTCAGCTACAGAAATTGAACTGTGATTTTAAATCAGATTGGGCACCAATTTTTTTCAATTCAATTTCCATTCAGTTTATGTATATAACTCCAAATCAAAACAGAAGTTGTCTCAGGGCACTGAACAGAAACATTATCAGAACATTATAACATTATAAAAGCCGATTAGTAAAAGTTATCCATCTAAGGAAGCAGCACATTGTGTTGAACCTTCACTTCGTTGCAGTCTCCCATCCTGAGCGAGCACAAAGGAGACAGTGGAAAGGAAAACTCTTTTAACAGGAAGAAACCTCCAGCAGAACCAGGCTCAGGACAAGAGACCATCTGCTTTGATCAGCTGGGTTTGAGAGGACAGGAAGGAGAGACAGACACAGAATGGCAGGTCCAGGTGAACTTTCTATAGGAGGAAAGACAAAAAACGTTAAGATAGAAATAATTACAAATACAAACAGGAAGTGAAGAGCAAGAAGAGAGCATCAGAGAGAGGACATGTGGTCAGTTTGTCCTCCAGCAGTCTAAGCCTATAGCAGCATGACTAAGGGACAGCTCAGGAAACCCAAGCCGACCCTAACTATAGGATTTATCATAAAGACTGAAGCCTAATTTTAAAAGTAGACAAGGTGTCAGCCTCATGGACAGAAACTGTAAGTTTTGGAACTGGAAGATTTATTGTTCAGCTATTAGTTTACCACATTTGGATTGGTTTCACCATAAAGTTAAAACTTACATCTCAACTGTTAACATTTATTTATGCTCACTTGTCCCAAACAGTTTAGCAACTTTCCAGATAGCATTAGTGAGCTGGACTCTTGAGCATTTTTGGGACCTTAATAGTGAAACGCCTACAGTTAGTAGGTGCGTCTGCTGTTTGCCTAGAATCTCTAATAAATGATCTAAAAAAGTAAAGTCAGGTCCTCTGGACGTTCAAACAACAACAACAAAAAATGTAGAAACGTTTCTTCTCTCATCCAAGAGACTTCCTCAGTCTGAGGAGCTGTATTCAGCTCAGTCTCTTAAATAGCACCTTCTCAGAGTGGATCAACCAGTTTTGCTGCTGACAACCAAAACCAGCTGATCACATGCTCAAGAAGGACCATCAGCCTAACAATGGATCATTAGCACCTGATGGCTGTTTACTGTTCACAGAGGGCTGAGTGATACTAGCAATCACAGCATTGTAAGAGGGGGACAGTTGAACCCGGAGGCTCCACCCCTGTTTAATGATGGACGATTTCTTTTCACAAAGATGGCCTCCTTTACTCCTCTCTCAAACCATCGTTCCTCTCTGTCATGGATGTGAACATCTTCATCTCTGAAAGAGTGACCTCTGACCTGGAGATGAGTGTAGACCGCAGAGTCCTGGCCTGATGATGTTGATCTTCTGTGCTGGGCCATCCTTTTGGCTGTCAGCGGGCACCGGGCAAGCAAGATCCTTCAGAAGGCACAGACCCAGCTGCTGAATGAACGGGTGAGACAGACCAATTTTACTATTGAGACCTTGAAGGCCAAAGAAGAGCACATTAAACAGAGACTAACAACGTGTCTAGATCAGACCACACTTCAGCAAGTGTTGGACTGTACAGATCAGGTACGCTTAGCACAGCATGTCAAGTCCAAGACTCGACAACAAAACAAGTTTAACTTACTAATAACTCATCAACACCATCACTATTCCAATAACAACACATTCAGTGTAGGACAACACTCCAGTAGTCAATTACATGCCAGGGAGACAGAAAAGTGGGTGAAGAATTTATCTGACAGACAGCTCACCCAGCCGGAGACAGAGATTCTTGCCAGGGGACTGAACTTTGCGGTTGCACCAAGGACAATTCCTCTGGTGGAGATGATCACAGCTACTGAGTCAGCCATCCGCAACAACAAAATTAAAGAGGCTGAAGCAGAACAGTTCAGAATCAAAGTTTCATCCTGCCTCAGCAATGCCAAACCACCACCTTCCAACATCAGTAGAGAGGAGAGGGATGCACTCACCACTCTTAGCAAGGACAAAAACATCATCATTCTCCCAGCAGACAAAGGAAGGTGCACAGTGATTTTGAACCAGAAAGACTATCATGAGAAAGTTATGACACTCCTTAGTGACTTAACCACTTATGAACCTCTGAAAAGAGATCCAGGAAGTGGTTACAAGAAGAAATTGATAGATTTCCTGAAAATTTTGGAGCAGGACAAGGCTATTGACCGTTTTCTGTACCACAGACTGTACCCAGGGGAGGCCACACCTAGTCTGTATGGTTTACCTAAAATCCACAAACAAGGTGTACCTTTAAGACCAATTGTTAGCATGATTAACTCTGTCACTTACAATGTTTCCAAATATCTGGCGTCTGTACTCATCCCTTTAGTTGGCAGCTCAGAACACCACATACAGAACACCATGGACTTTGTGGACAAGGTGAGGGATGTCATCATGGAGACTGATGAAACAATGGTCTCTTTTGATGTCACATCACTCTGTACGTGCATTCTGTTGATGATGCAGTAGAGGTGGTCAGTTTAAGATTAAAATCAGACACCACTCTGAGCAGCAGGACCACGCTTTCCACAGAACAACTGTGTCAACTCTTGAAACTGTGCCTGCAGTCAACCTACTTCACATATGGGGAGCAATATTATAGGCAGAAACATGGGTGTGCTATGGGGTCTCCAGTTTCTCCTACTGTTGCCAACCTGTACATGGAGGAGGTAGAAAAGAGAGCCTTGACGTCCTTTTCAGGAACACCACCAAGTCATTGGTTCAGGTATGTTGACGACACCTGGGTTAAAATTAAATCTCAGGAAGTCCAACATTTTACTGACCACATCAACTCTGTGGATAAATACATCAAGTTCACACGAGAAGATGTAAAAAATGGCAGGTTGACTGTATGAATCCAGGAGGGGAAATTTGAGGTTTAATTTGAGTTTAGCTAGCATTTTGATACTTTTTTACTTTCATCAAGCCTTTTTTTAGCTTTTAGCTAGCGGTCTGCTGTTTTATATTAAACTAAATTTTAGCTTCATTTGGTAAATTTCAGGAAACTCATTCAGCACACAGAATGAATCCTGCATCACGTTTGTAGTATTTTTTTTAAATTTTTTTACTTTCATCAAACGTTAATGACAAGCTTATCATACATGCATCCTGCAGAATCATCATCTATCAAAGTGTCAGAAGATCATAACAGTGTGATATGGATCAGGATTTAGAGAGAGTGTTGTATTATTTAGTGTCTTGCCTATTCAGTGCCTGGAACAACGGCCATCTTTTCTTTTTCCCTGGCAGGGATAAACTGTGAGGTGGAAATCAATGAGTGTGAGGTCCACCCCTGTCAGAATGGTGCCACCTGTAGAGACCACATCGCCACGTACTCATGTGACTGCATCAATGGCTTCCAGGGCCGAGACTGCGAGGTCAACATCGATGAATGTGCCAGTTTGCCCTGTCTAAACAAAGGAAAGTGCATAGATGGAGTCAATAGGTAAGATTACACCCCGCACCACACACACACAAAAAAAAAGTTGGAAATTTTCTTCAAAACTTAACTCCTGCCAGTAATACCCAACCATAAACCCAAATCCAAACTATATAAAGTTGCTGTTTTGCTTTGGGCTGTTATCTTCTTCAGTGGTTACCACGGCCAGGAAACTCATATGAAAGATATGACACTTATTTTACATCGTTGCCCCTCCTATCACAACCTGGGCTTGAACCTGCAGCCTCATGATTACAACTCTGGCACTGCAGCCCATAAATTTATGCAAAGTACTAAATACAAATATTACACATGAACTAGCAAAATAATTCAACTCAGTCTTGTTGAGCATGGACTTTTTTCAGTCTTGTTAAAAGTCTTGAGTCTTGAGTTAAAGCAGAGATGTTTTTATGTATCTGTAGATATCTGCTTTTACCCTCTGAGCAGAAACCATGAACACATGAGCCAACGACAATGTCCAGCTCTCAAAATAAACATGTATTTAAAATAAACTTATACAACTGCATATTTGTGAAACATCCATCCATCCATCCATTTTCTTTACCCGCTTAATCCATTTTGGGTCACGGGGGTCGCCGGTGCCCATGTCCAGCAATCACTGTGCGAGGGGCGGGGTACACCCTGGACGGGTCGCAAGTCCATCACAGGGACACATAGAGACAAACGAGACAAACAAACATTCACTCTCTGACTCACACCTAGGGACAATTTAGAGTTACCAATCAGCCTAACATGCATGTTTTTGGTCTGTGGGAGGAAACCGGAGTACCCGGAGAAAACCCACACATGCACGGAGAGAACATGCAAACTCCACCCAGAAAGGCCCCTGGACCGGGGTTTGAACCAGGGACCTGCTTGCTGAGAGGCAGCAGCTCTACCAGTTGCGCCACCGTGCTGCCCATTTGTGAAATATATTGGATTGAATTTTCTTGGCTTTGATTTGTACTCATGCAAGTTGAAACCTTTCCTGAGCTTAGGTTTATCAGGATCTAATTGAAATGAATTTATTTGGATTGAGCTTTCGTGCACAGACAAACATTCTGCTGGTAGAATGTAATGATCAAATACAACAATGCTCAGCTGACTGGAGTGTAAATAGACCAAGTAAATAAGCAAGAACTGATGATGAAAATTAGCAGCTGTTGAGATGAGTCAAAAAGGGAGCAGGTGTAGCTGAGTGTGGCTGGCAGACAGGAAATGTACTGAGGGAGTGGTGGCTAGTGGCAAAGAGGAAACACAAACAACACAATTCACCCCCAGAACCACAAAGCATAAAAATGTATCAATTCATCCATCCATTATCTTCTGCTTATTCCAAAGTCAGGTCACAGGGGCAGCAGCTTGAGCAGGGAGCTCCAGACATCTCTCTCCACAGCCTCTTCCAGCTCTTCTGGGAGGATTCCAAGGTGTTCCCAGACCAACCGAGACACATAGTCTCTCCAGCGTGTCCTGGGTCTTCCCCGGGGTCTCCTCCCTGTTGGACATGCCTGAAGCACCTCCCTAGGGAGGCGCCCAGGGAGCATCCTTACCAGATGCCCGAACCACCTCAACTGGCTCCTCTAGACATGGAGGAGAAGCGGTTCTACTCTGAGTCTCTCCTGATAACTGAACTTCTCACCCTGTTTCTAAGCAAGAGTCCAGCTACCCTGCGAAAGAAATTCATTTCAACTGCCTGTATCTACGATCTCATTCTTTCGGTCACTACCCAGAGCTCATGACCATAGATGAGGGTAGGAACGTAGACCGACCGGTAAACAGAGAGCTTGGCCTTACATCTCAGCTCCCTCTTCACCACAACAGACTGGTACAGAGTCTGCAATACTACAGATTAGAGGATGACACGGGAGTGAATTTTCACTTCTGTCCTGTCCTGTCCCACTCCTGTCCTGCTCCTGTTTTTCATTTAATTTTTAGGAAATACATTGAATTTGATTTGATCTTCTACCCATTCCTGTTTAAATTACTTTGTGTTGTACAGTTTTATTTCAAAAGATATGTCAACAGGAACAGTTCATCTGTGGTGAAATAGAGACATTTATTGATTAATCCAAAGAAAAACCTTCACTAAATATCATAAAACAATAATCCATGGCCTGTAGTCCATATAATTTTTCTATGGAGGATCAGCTGCTGAGTCTGTTTCTGGCTCTTTTGAAGGTCAGTTCCAGTAAAAACAAAAAATCTAAACCAGTCCATGGGTCACACCATGTCTACCTTACATGAAAGAACCCAAACATAACAAGTTGCATTTTACTAATTTATTGAGCTATTGTTTCCTTTAAACAGTGACATCACTGTCATGTTTTAAATTGTTTAAACAAAAAAATAAAAAAAATGTACCAAGCAGAGAACTCAACAAATAAAAATGTTTAAAGGCATTATTATACATTGGACGACGTCCTCCAGAAGTTCAGTGTATGTGGTCGAGGTAACGAGCTCGTTTGGGTGAAGCATGATGTCGTGCATCTTCCCAGACTTCAGAGCATCATTTACAGACTGGACCATTGCAGGTCTGGTGTTCCACCTCATCTCTCCACAGCTTCAGTGACCGGTCCAGCACCTTGTGTAACCTAAAAGTGAAAGAAGACAGTGCACGAGTCAAAATAGGGTTACAGTGACTACAAATTACAATCTGTTGGTCTTTTGGAATTTTTTTTTATTTTTTATTATCACTCCATACCTCCCCCACTTCCCTGCTTGCATTATTTTGCCCTGTGAACCCTTAAAAAGCCTCTTTTTTCTGCATACCTCTCAATTGGAAGGATCAGCTGGTCTCTCAACAAAATTGATCAATTCTCCCGACAGGAGTCAGGGTAAGGAGGACCCTCTTACCTCGACGGAAACAAATTGGATTCATGATGACAACTAGATTCTACTGTTTGGGTTAGTGAAATCTTGGATTGTCTACAAATTTGTGTGGATGTGTCGAAGCTCGACAATGCTCAGAATGAATTTGGAGAGCTGCAACAGGGAGCTGGAGCAGCTGTTATCAGGACTGTGATCTCCCTGGCAGCACTCGTGAACGGTGGGAATAATCTTGGAGAAGCTGTGAGCTTGACTTTTGGAGTAAAGGATCAATTCGGCTGTTTTGGAGTTTCCCTCAAAGAATATGTACCAGCGAGACTTTAAAGGCAGAAACAACAATTCATGAGTTCTGCCTGACCCAAACTGTGGCCTTGATGCCGGACTTATCTCAACTCCTCCTGGAATGTTTTGAAAACAACAAAGATGCTTTGACTGTTTCCTCACCCCTCCCTTCCCCAAGGCCGTGGACAGAACCTCAACTGAGCTGAAGATGAATGTCACCTCTTATCTGGACAATGACTGGGGGGGGGGGGGGGGGGGGGGGGG